TAATTTATTCATTTTGATTCACAAATTAGACCATTAGTAGAGTAGCCAATCACAGCGCAGAATGAGTGATAGACCATTAGTATGTTTATACTAACAATATCTACATGTACAGTATATAGATAAGATAATGATATCAATAGAATAAATGAAGAAAAAGCCACGCAACTTGTAACTAGGTTTTCCACTTTTTAATGAACGTTTCGGCACTTCGGCCTTCTCCAGCAAACTGAAGATAAGATAAGATAATGATATCTATATATCTATATTAAGAATCTGCAAAAAGGCGCACATAATAATAGTTAAAAAAACATTTATCTTTATTTAATGGAAGACGACTTTACTTTGTATAAACTGACACAAACAKGTTTTAAGAAACTGTTAAAAGAAATAAAATACTGAAATTTTCTTTTTCTTTGTTGGGATCCCTTTGCCTTTAGTACCAGTCCCCCGGCTTCGCAACCTCGTTCCCAGGGCTACTCTGCTCGCTTTTTTCAAAATCTCTAGGCGCAGAGTAGCCCTGGGAACGAGGTTGCCGGCTTCGCTAATAGAGCATCGGCCATGTTGGAAATGTGTGTTGACATGAATTAGAAGGCTAGAATAATGACCTTATGAGCCGTTAAAATAACTCCTTTAGCGTAAACGAAATAAATATGGACAGCCCTCTTAACATGGTAAGTGAAATCATTCGTTTTTTTTAATCAATACGTCCATATTTGCTGTAAGTCAAAAAATGACAAGCTTATTGATTTTGTGAAATATCAGTTCGAAATTATGAATGAGTTGATCAAGTTATATATATTATATAAGTTAGATCACAACTTAAGTAAGCTTATATTTGTTGTCATGCACCATAGAACTGGATTGATTAAAATCTWATAACATTATAAATGTTTTAAATCCAGGCTCATCTTCAAGAAAGAAGAGCAGAGTCATTTATAAATTCTCATCAGTTTTCTGAGGCAATACAATGTTAYCAAACTGCTGCAGGTATTTGAGAAATACTGCATTTTGTTGATCAARATAGCCCACTTTTGATTTTCTGGTTGAACATAAAAGTACTGAAGATGAGGCWCTAGGGAAACAAATTGTTATCTATTGTTCCCCTTGATCCTTGTCTGCAGGGACGTCAACTCTCCCGGATTTGCCGGGAGACTCCCGATTTCAGATCGAATCTCCCCAGCAGCGGATTTAGGGTTGGGCCGAAGGGGCCGTGGTCTCAAGATTTTAGCTCTAAATCTCCCAGATAGCACGATATTTTCAAAGAATGATAATAATTACTAACCATCATTGCAGAATTTTATTTACAAGAATTTCCTCAATCTTTTGATATGGTACTTTATTATATGACTTGGATAGTACGCGCGTTCTGATTGGCTCACGCGAGGGCGATATTTTGCCATCTCCGACCGATTACCATGACAACGGTCCGAAAGTCATATTCCCGAGCGCCCGTTTGTTGACATTTTTCAAGATTTGAAAAATCGAGATTTGATTTTTTTGAACTGAATTTGAGAATAACTATACGAGAAGCAAGCAAAGAAAAATTAAGAATGACGAGGAAGAATATTTTTCAAGCGAATTTTATYATTCTGACGAATTTGAGTTGAGGAAAACATGCRTGAAAACGCCACATCCGAAGCGAAGTTYAAACTCCGAGCCAAGGAGTTGTTGTTTYGACAGTTGTTTGTAGAAAAGTAGAAGGCGAAATCACAATACGAAAAACAAGGTCTAATATAAACATTCTAGTAGTAAAGCRAAGGMGGTTGTACAGAGCGGAAAAAGGCAACAAAACACAAGTGACGAAATCTCTAAGCGATGAAGACGAGAAGTCGCTTCGTGACTATACTAATAAAACCCAGGTTAGAAATTCGCAGCATCACTTAATAATGTAACTTCAAGATTTCCAAAGGTCCAGTGACGGTTCAAYAAGGRRAAAKGCGTCGAAATGCTATCGCTGAAAGCGACGATGAAGATTGAAAACGATTTGATTGTAGATAAAGTAGATAAAGCTTACTGACTTGTTTGTTTTCGTTGTGCTTTGACTAGATGAAAGACCCACGATTGTTGTTTTTGGACATTTAAATGATTGTTCTTCTGTGACATTGATGGCAATTCATTTTAGAATTGTTTTTATAACAGAAATATCTGTTTTCTGGTGTAAAAAACACACATTTTTGACAATTTGATTCCATGTGCTTTGCTTGCTTCAGTTGGACCAATCGATAGTCTGATCGATATTCGCACGCTGTTTACAGTTTGCTTTTCCGATGTAGAAAAAAGTCATATAATAAAAGTGTTATTAACCTCGTTTGCTCGGTCTGTACAGAAAAATATCGGACCTCGGTCTCTTATGTACGGACCTCGGCCTACGGCCTCGGTCCATACTGTCGAGACCTCGGTCCGATATTTTTCTGTACAGACCTCGCGCTCGGTTAATAACCCTTTAATATTCTCGACGAAATACCTACAGGCGCTGCTTACGTATGTGCACACATGAAAAATATGTAAACTGATTATGTCTAATCCCATTGGTTGAAACAGAATATAACATCATTTGTGACATCATGAATGACGTCATTCACATCTTGTGACGTCATACACATAATCGTGGCAATTTCTCCAGATTTGTAATACTTGGGGGTTAACATCCCTGCTCTTGGCTAATTACAAGAGGGCCTTGATTCCTTGCCCTTGCTCATATGCTGTGATTTTTTGAAACACCATCTAAGATTTTTCATTAGCTTTTCAAAGTCTAGATCAGAAAAATCAGAACAGCAAAAATACAGATTTTGGTAAGTGTTTTGGCAGACATAAATATGTGCGAGTGAAACTGTCAATTTATATAAGGAACACTCAAAAATATGTTTGAAGAGTTTTTTAGACACAAAGTAGCCTCCTACACAGTCAATACTCTTTTTTCCAGTATGCTCCAAGGGGTTGATTGATAAAGAGAGAAAAACTATTGACAGCTTTTGTGAGCTTTTCCTTGATGAATTATTTGATTCTCAAAAAGTGGATATGAGCCTGCAATGAATGTAAATGTTCTGTAGTATAAAAAAGTGGGGGTGTGCCGCTGGGACCTCAAAACCCTGACCCTGTCCCAGAGTGAAATCGCTGAAAACTATACCCTGTTCCAGAGTGAAATCGCTGATAACTATACCCTGTTCCAGAGTAAAATCGCTGAAAACTATACCCTGTTCCAGAGTAAAATCGTTGAAAAGTATACCCTGTTCCAGAGTAAAATCGCTGAAAACGATACTCTGTTTCAGAGTAAAATCCTGCACTAGCTGACGTGTAGACCGAATTTTTACCCCATGAATTTTTATCCAGCATCAATAATTCCGGAATTCAACCCTGATCCTGTTCGAGAGAAAATTCGTTGAAATCGCTGAAAACGATACCCTGGTTGGCGGCACGTCCCTGTATAGCGAATATAGGGGAGTACCCCCCCCCCCCCCTGGGTGTGAACATTATATAAATATCCCTAAGACTTAAGAAGGAAATAAAAGCTGTGAGCCTCCTTTGCAGACGTTATGAGTATCAGCCATACGTTCCCTCTCCACTAGAGGAAACATGGCCGACACAAATAACGTCTGCAAAGGATGCATGTGAATATTTGAATGTCAATTTTTTTATACAATAGAAATTGCATCATGGTAGTTCCAGTGGTAGGTCTAGAACATTACAAAGGAGGGTGACTAACTCAAGAAAAAATAGTTTTAGGGGTTTATTTCCTTAAAAAAACCTGCTTTAAATGAAGTTGTTTTTCAATACACGTCCCATTCAGATTTTTTTCCCTTTATTTATTTATGTCATAATTTGTATATCACCCTAAAAAGGGGGCAGTGAGCCACCCTAATCAAGGCCCTGGATTCACCCTAACTTGTGTACATAGTCAACAAATTTCTTTCTTTTCAGAATATCTCCTTCAGGCAATGAAGATGACTCAAGTAACTCAGGTATTAATAATTAGAGACCAGTCAAAAATTATTTTTGTGTGTTGCATCAAATCAGAAGACACTTCTCCAAATCKTCACTGCTCATTTTCACTTAAAAAAGGTTACACTGTACACAACATTTAAGATTTAGCCTTGTTAAAAGCTTACTTTGCACCTGAAATATTCATTTGTCTTTTAGGCTGTTGTATCAATGCAACTTCAGTATGAAAGCAATCTTCGACAAGAAAAGATCATTAAGGACAAATGGAGAAGACACGAGCTTCAGTTGGAAAGACTTGCACTTGAAAAAGAAAGACTTAAAAAAGAATCTTCAAAAACCATTCCCTCRAGCAAATTAACTGATTGTACGGACGCTGACAACTCAGAGCAGTTGAAAACAGAATGCATGATAACGAGCACGAGTAGYCTTGTYATTTCTGCTGAAAATTTCCCCGTTTCWTCTCTGAGTTCAAGTACAGAATTCCTYACTTCAAGAGAAGAGAAAGATGTYATGAATGACTTAAGAATTCAAATTCGCGATCTTCAAATGCAAGTCTTGTCGTTGAATCAATCTCTTGAAGATTCAAATAGGGAGAACACTAAACTAAGAAAGATCATTTCATCACTTAAACAGATTTTGAGAGAGAGGCTTGACATGGAATATGATGAAGATGCGATAATGTCAGMAGAATCAGAAAAATTATATGAAGATAATAACTAATAAATATAGATTGAGAGTTAAATTTCTCTTACAAAGAGAATTTTTAAGGAAAGGCTTCGACCATTTAGAATTCAAGGGAGTTTTTCAAACATGGAGGCAAAAGTGAAGCACAAACGGGCAAGCTACGAGTGTGCGCAAACCCAAAATGCACAAATTTATCATCCAGTTTTTCATGTACAATCAGAAGGAGGCGGTAGCGTTATCATAATGAATAAGTAATTCTTCTTAATGTCCTGTTTTCTTACGCCACAAGGTGCTCTTTGTGATTTGACACGCACACTCGTTTTGAGCGAGAAGCATTGAAATGGCTTTCTTAGTTTCTTTTGTTCTTGCGTGTCTTGTTTATCACGGCGGGAATTCATAGGAAACAATCCATGGACAAAATCCAAAGTCATGAATTTAAAGCTAACTTAAATTTATATTTCTTATCACAATTCAGAATTAAAATTACTGACAACACGAATGCAATTTTTGATTTTAGAACTATACAAAAAAAGTTTGTTGAACTATTAAGATATGTATAGATCGAAATTGCAGCGCCGAAACACCTGCGTTGCATTTAAATATCAATAGCAAATGTGACGTTTTAGAGTCAATTTTTATCTATTTTTATCAGTTACTCTGAAAGTCTGCTGTGTCGACGAATTATTTGGCGTAAAGATATGCTGTAAGCCAGAATTTATCTCATCAGTACAAACGAATCAAAGTTCTCAAGCAAAGTTATGCAAAAATTATTGTTTGTGGTTCTGCTCAAGGTATTGAATGTAAAAAAATGATTATTTTAATAACAATGCCATCTACTATCTTTAAACCTATGGTCCCGATTTTCCAAATGGAAAATTGTGCGGTTCAGTAATGGGGAAAAAAAATTCATGTTCTGTCTTTTTGCGGAAAAGTCGAAGCTGTTTTGCGGTAAATTTTGAAACCAGAGCTCTCAGTAAAGTTTGGATTTCCTTCTCTGGGTCCAGAAATTTTAGTTTCAATCAAATATTTATAAAATTTTTGATTTATAACKCGCGCTCTGATTGGTTGACGACCGTGTTTTATATCAGAGGACAGAGACGCGCGACGTTTTATATTTCTTAAATTGAACGCAAGCTATCGCTGGCAATCTAAATTGACGACTTTGATATCAGTGTCTAATCTGATGCGCGCGGCAAGAATCGATAATATAATGTCGGAATGGCAGAAATAAGATTTTGAGTATATAAACAATTTTTGGTTGTCAAGAACTTTTTTATAGTGTATTTTTATATTTCTGTACTTTAAATTATATCTGTACTTTAAATTATATCAAAAATACTTAGGATACTACGCGCGCTGTGATTGGTCGAAAACCATGTTTGATTACAGTTTCTAAAATATTTAGGATACTACGCGCGCTGTGATTGGTCGAAAACCATGTTTGATTACAGTATCAAAACACGCTCGCGCGCGTCAAAATTTTCTTTTATTCTTTTAATTTTAGAAAAGAAATAAAAGACGAAATTCCGTGTTTGATACTCTGATCAAAACACTTGGGATGTAGGGAGAGCACTCGAAAAGCTGGAAACCACTCCGCTWCSCGTCGTGGTTTCCTACGCTTCTCTCGTGCTCTCCCTACATCCCGCGTGTTTTGATCAGAGTATCAAACACGGAATTTCGTCTTTTATTCCTTAAATAATACCATCATAGAAAAATGCTCGTTAGGGTTGGTTCTAACTACATCATAAGCAAGATGCAATGCAGAAACAGAAGCTAGTTCATATTTGGTATGAGCTTATGCCTACGTTTTGCCGCTTCACACTGATTATTTTTAAAACACGCCGAATATTCCGTTTCTTCTGCTTATGTTGTTGTGTGAAACGTCACAAAGCAAGTTTAGCACAATCAATATCATACGATATTTGCCAAAACTTTATGACAATGAGGAGCTTTGTTGTGATTATGGACGAACCACTCACGCGTACATCTTCAGAGCAAGATTGCAACCACTAACCAAATCAACAATTTACTTTTAAGAGTGTGTTCACAAATGGCGTTTCTGCAAATGAAGGTAATTATAGCTAAATAAGCACTTTTTTGTTTGTTTAATGTAGGGTTATGTTGTTGGTCGATCACAGAAACTAACGCAGTAGTATCGAGGAAATCCTCAGTCAAACTACAGCAAATAAACAACATTCAGTTCCAAAATAAAAATTACCACGATCTCTTATTCTAATTTCAGATTCCCCCGAGCCCGTGTTGTTTCTACCTCTCAATAAACAATACGGCACACGAGACATCAGTAAGAGCAATCTACCTACGACGGCTGTTGGTGTTAGCTTGTCTACTGGGCCAGATGGTAAGCCAGGCGGGTCATACCACTTTCCAGGAAGGTCGTCCAGTTATATTGACGTACCAAAAGACCCGGCGATTGACACAAGGTACAAAATATACTATAAATCAGTTCCCGTCAACGGTGACCATGTTTTTTAGTCATAAAAGAAGTGAACTATATGAATTGATACAACAAATTCAGCAAAACGTTGAATACTGGAGATAGTGTTGTCGTAACCGTTTTGGTTTGTTTTGGTTTGTTGCTTTTTTGGTCGTTTTATCGCCGTTCAAAAGGCGTTTTCGTGGTTTCATGGACCGGTAACTATACAAGCTCCGTATAGTCAAGAATTTCAATGKAAAGCAATTTTAAAAGTATAGAGTTTGATAGCAACAATGCAATGCCTTCTTGGAATGCACTATGGCAGTTCTTGGAATGCACTATGGCAGTATACAGTACTATTCAGTATTCAACGTTTTCTGAAACAGCTATTTACAAATAAATTCTTGGTTCAGGTATTCCATGACAGTTAGCGCGTGGTTAATTCACACAGATGGAGTTAATGGTCCAGTCTTACATTACGACACTCTACAGTCATCCCATTCTTGGGGATTTCACATATACATTACAGGTACGCTGTTGTAAATGTTTCAGCCAGGAAGTAGAATCTGATGATCGATATGATACAGTATTAGTATTTCAATGGAAAAAAATTGCGCGCTTTAAAGGTTGTAAATTTGATTGAAATATGTTGTAAGTGTCCAAAATGATGTAAACTTGATGTAAATAATCATTTATATAAAACATAAATAAATACATCAAATTTACAACCTTTAAAGCGCGCAATTTTTTTCAGTGTTTACAGTATGATGGATTGTATTTTATTTTAGTAATAGAAGGTGATTTTGCAAAGGAGGGGCCGTGAAGTTGTTTTTCCATTTTGAACTTTAGATCCACGGAAACGCGATAAGGGAGTTTGACAACGTCTTATTTTACTTCCGTTTTGCTTTCCTCTTTTGGTTCACTTTTTATTCAGCAAAAGGGGGGGGGAGGCGGCCCCTTCGGTTTCCTCCGAAATCCGCCCTTCATAGCACAGCTAAATAATAAAACATTAAAATCAGCAGTAGCAGCAACCTTGGTAGCAGTGGTAGTAATATAGCTAGTATTAGCTGCATGCCACAGCAGCGGCAACAGCTGATAAGTATTTTAGGTTGCAGCAGGACTGATAACTGAAGCAGCAAAAGCTGCAGCAATGGTAGCAGTACTCAAGGCAATAACAGCAAGACAAGTATTAGCATTGYCACCAAATAACAGCATTAAAAGGATAGGTAGTAGCAGAAATAGCCACAACCGTCTCAGCAGCAGTACTAGCTGCAGCTCTGAGTGCGATTGGTGTTATTCCAACTAAATAATTCCAATAAATTTTACCATCTTTCCTAAATAGCTGGTAAAAATATTTTCTGTCGTCCATCGCCAAGAGATCACTCTGCCCTCCCTATTGGTGTATCGTACGATCTGTCGCCAACAAACAGATGGAGGTACTTTGCCTACACATATAACTACAACACCGGGATCCAAAAGCTATTTATTGATGGAGTAGAAGTTAGAAAAGTAAACATTTCAAGCTTGGAGTTTGCTACTCAGTACAAGGTATATCAGGGGTTTTTTTCTATACACTGATGGAAAAAATCGCACACTATAAAGGTTGTGGCAAACTAATCAAAAATATAACATCCTCTTATACTTGTAGGCCTAATACAGCTTATTTCATATAATTAACTAAAATTGCCATATATCGCCTGTGTTTTATAAAATTCAATAGATCAAACTAGGAGGACAGAAAATGGGAGACGATAGATTCTTTAAAGGACGAATTTCGTGTCTTCAAATATACAACAAAGCCTTAAGTGAAGACCAAATCTTGAAAGCTAAAACATTCTGCGATAGAAATGGTAAGAAAAAATTTATTTAATCTACAGTGATTCTCTAGATAGCTCAAAATTTTTTCTATCTGTTTTAAAGAATTCCCCGAGCCCGTGCTCTTTCTACCCCTCAATGAACAATACGGTACACGAGACATCAGTAAGAGCAATCTACCAACGACGGCTGTTGGTGTTACCCTGTCTCCTGGACCAGATGGCGAACCAAACGGGTCGTACTACTTTCAAGGAAGCTCGTCCAGTTACATTGAAGTACCTCAAGACTCAAAMACTGACACCAGGTAACGTTGATTATTTCTCATTCGACAACAATTTTAACGTCCGGGCTAAAAGTGCGGAGTATGGGACTCAAGACAACATACAAATTATCACTAAATCTCTTACTAGCATCGAGAATCACCGGAAAACTTGATTAGTTTCTAAAGTTTGTAAATAATATGTGTTTATACTGCATATTCTTTTACAAAGTTTGTAAATTCTAAATATGCATTCTGTAAATTTCTTGTAAATTGTTCTCCACTGATCGAACACTGTAAATATCTTGTAAAATATCAATTTACAAAGTTTGTTTCAATCAGGTATTCGATGACGATCATTCTATGGATCTACGTTCAGGGGGGAAATGGTCCAATCGTGCATTATGATACATTAAGTACACAATGGGCATTTCGCCTTTACTCTTTAACAGGTACGTACAATGATAAGAGTAAAAAGAACTAGCCCTCGAATGCACTTTATTTTAAAAACACAGAATTCAAAAGCTGGCATTTATTTACGTTGAAACTGCATGTAAAATAACAACTAAATAAATAAAGACTAGACGATCAGCGATCGTTTACATGGGCTTCCTGTGGTATATCACAATCAGTGAATGATATTGAACCCTAATGAAATAAATATTACTAAGACAACAGCGAAAGAAGATTTCCTTTAATGAAAAATAATGAAACAACGGCAATGTACTCAGTAGAATTTCATAATATTGTCAAAGAAGTAATTTATCCTTGGCTGTTATATTAAACACAGATCKATAGTCTTTCATGTTCTTCGCTTAAAATACTTCCAATCCTCTGTTTTTCCTCAGTATAAATCTATTGACATGTCTTAGATAAGTCCTTGGTGATTGTAGAGCCTGTACTTGTATAAATTAGCATTTGATAAGCTAATGTTTGATATATAATTCACGATCAGTAGATTCACGATAAATTCGCCGTATCTCTCCAAATGCCCTTTTGAGAAACGCTCKMWTTTTTTTAGTGTGGCTGCCGCGAATGGTGTGTGGATTTGTAAATGAATCTAGCGTATTTGTAGAAGCTACAATTAGATGACCTAGATTCGACATGCTTTCCGGCTATACGAAGGTCCGAAGAAGCACGAGGCGACCTTTCAATCGTTGCTTAGAAACATGAATGACAGTAAGACAATAGATGTCAAAAATGAAAAGGTCCCGGATATAATTTGAAGCATACCACAGACGAAAAACGTCGGTAATTTAAGACATGGTCTTCCTTTGGAAGCCCATGTAATAAATGATGAAAATAAACAATGAATTAGATTTTTTTTAATTTTATTCAAACCTATTAATCTAATTAAAAAKAATAATAATTAAAATTTAATTAATTAATTAATGAGCGGCTTTCTTCATCAAATAGATGCAAATGTAGAGACCTTCAAGAAAAATCTTAAGACTCACCTTTTTAAGAAGGCATATTATTGATTTGTTTTCCCCAGAAATTTTTATATTTATTTTATGTATACATATATCTTATAATCCTTTTATTTATCTATTTATTTATTTATCTATTGTACAGCTGTTTGCAATAATTCTGACCCCCTCTGCCATATTTCATATATATCAAACTGACCTTGAATATTATGGGATATCATGACTGATATATTTTTTGAGTTGCCCAGAATGAGTACTTTMTCAAAAAAATATCAGCATTGGTATCCCATAATTTCTAAGGCTACTTTGATATATATGAATATTAGTGTAGGGGGGTCAGAATTATTGCAAATAGCTGTATCTATATATTCTGTAAATATTTTGTAAAGCGCTTTAGAATATTTTATAATTTAAGCGCTATATAAATTAAATTATTATTATTATTATTATTAAATGAGCGTGATAGTTTAGAGAAGCTGCATGAGTATGCGAAAGAACTTTTACTATCTTCTGATTTAATTTGTTTATGATTGTTTTTATCTTTGTTTTACAGGCGGAAATGTTTTTGTTCGACATATAAACAGAAATGGTTCACCTAGTCCTCCTTCTATGAGGACAAAAAGTTTAAAACTAAACAGTTGGTGGTACGTTGCTCATGCATATGACTATAACACAGGTATACAAAAGCTATACGTGAACGGTGTAGAGATCGAGAATCAAGATGTTGGCAAGATAGAACTGAAAACACAGCACAAGGTATTGCAATGTTTTCAGATTTCCCTGTTTGCGTTTTTATTTATAGGAAATCGCACGACCTTGCGTACAATTTGGAATTAATATTCACGAGTAATGCTTTGAAAGTGTTATTATTATTTTATTTTCTATTTAACAATTAGACCTCGAGGCCGAGTGGACTACGAGCTAATAGCCCATGWGGCCGAGTCCGCGAGGCCGAATGGGCTATTAGCTCGTAGTCCACGAGGCCGAGAGGTCTAATTGTTTTAGTATAAACATACTAATCGGTCAAATAATGAAAACAAATTGAAATATTCTTAAAATAATTTATTAATGAGATTGATTTTTCCCGCGAGTGGTCTATCACAAATTAGACCATTAGTAGAGTAGCCAATCACAGCGCAGTATGAGTGATAGACCATTTATTAGTATGTTTATACTAATTTCCTTTAGACATTAAGGTGTGATAGTGATATGTATTACATCTATATTTCAATTTGATATACGTCCTCAATTTCCATATCCAATCCAACGATTAATTACCATTTCCAGTTCCACGAGATTTTGAACATGTTTTGTTCTTCATGATTCTTTTTTTACCCTTATAGTATTATCATTTATACTTGCACAATCCGTAATCATCAAAGTACCATTCTATAATGAGGTGTGTGAAGATTCAGGCACCGTATATATCGTATAAGCTGTTGGATACTTAAAAACTGAGTTGGAAGCAGATACAAAAATAGCTTCCATCTAGCTCCTTTTCCACTCACAGTGAAAATCAACCTTATGTAGCAACAATTATTATAATCAATCAATTTTTTTCACCTTCAAAAGATCAAAATAGGAGGCCACAAATACGGACAAAGCAGTTTTTTTAATGGAAGGATTTCTTGTCTTCAAATGTACAGCAAGGCCTTGAGTGAAGATCAAATATTGACAGTACAACAATTCTGTGATAAATCTGGTAAGAAACTTTAATCGCTCAGTCCGTCATGCTATCGATCTTCAGCTAACATGTAGTTTGTATTTCTCTATCTTTTAAAGATTTACCCGAGCCCGTGTTATTTCTACCTCTCAACAAACAATACGGTACGCGAGACATCAGTAAGAGTAATCTACCTACGACGGCTGTTGGTCTTACCTTGTCTCCTGGACCAGATGGCAAACCAAACGGGTCATACTACTTTCCAGGAAGCGATAACAGTTATATTGATGTACCGAAAGACTCAAAAACTGATACCAGGTAACACTTAATAGTTGTGCGATAAATGTTTATCATCTTACAAGTAGAATGTGGCATGCATGTCAAGCTTTTAGGCTAATTTTTTTTGTGTGCCCTTGTATGTACTTGTACGTATTCAGTGTTTGACCTGTTACAAATCTTTGTTGTTTGTGCATTTATAATTTTTCGACGTCGTTTTGAGCAATGTTCCATACACAGGTTCAGTGACTACGATCAAAATTGTGAATAGAGGCCTCAAGGAACACTGGGAATGAAAGAAAGTATCTATATGCTCAGTCCACTTAGACGACCTTGTGTCAATGAATTTTTCATGGTCTAAGACCCTGAATCTGGAATATTGTGAATAGCTGGGATGGTTCTAATTCTAATTCTTTATCTAATGTGATTGATGTGTAAGCACGACAATGCAAAGCTGTGTGCATAAGTACACTGCATGGCCAGCCAAAGAAATCYGATTTTTATATTTGGTGCACGCGTCGTGCGATAAAGATTAGGAAGACATTGATGTGGACAATGATTAGTGATTGTTATAATGATCAGAGATAATGATGATGATAATGATGATTATTATTATTATTATTACTACACAGATACACCATGTCTTTTTTCACATGGATCTATAACGAAGGGAGGTACGGCCCTGTCTTGAATTACGAAACCGGAGGATCGGCCTGGGGGCTCCATATCTATACTCAAGTATCTGACCCTCAATCTAAGTTCTACGTCAGCTTTGTTACTCGCGACAATTTGAACGATAATGGAATCATAAGGTTAGAAAAGCCGATGGCTACAAACGCCTGGCAGTACGTTGGCTTTACCTATGATTTCGTCGCGGGCATAGCACGGATGTATATCGATGGTATAATAGTTCAAAGTTCTGCAGCACCTAAATTCGAGCTTAATACTAAATTTAAGGTACAAAGTATTAGCATGCAGTGTAAGACAAACCAAAGACTGCACCTTTAACGTCATGTCGGATCGACATGGATTCTTAACGTCACGTGTTGTTGTTAAGGTTGTTATTGTTCTTTTGCTGTTAATGCTGTTGTTGCTGATGAAAGTGATGATGATCTTGTTGGTTGATCTTGTTGTGGATGACAGTGGGTGATGCTGATGATGTTCAAAGCATTACACATTGTCTTACAGATAAGAGTCGGTGGCGTCAAGTATGGGCATGTATCAACATATGCATTCAAAGGACGTCTATCTTGTGTTCAAATTTACGACAAGGCATTGACACATGCACAAGTACTAGCCAGTCAGCGGCACTGTGCGAGAAATACTCAGGAGTCAGGTAGGGCCTTCAGGTACTAATAGCGATCCAGTACTACGGTTATTATTCACCACTAACAGTCTCAAACTCTCAAAATATAAGCCAAAACCTGACCCAAATGCCCACTCGTGTGCAGTAGAACAAAACAACTTGGTTCTTATCTTACAGAGATTTGCAGTGCTTGTGTTGATTATAAATCCATCGACGACCCCACAAGATTACCAAACGCAAAAAGTGCCAAGCCTTCTGACCGAGTATCTCTCAGCCGTCGTACTCACTGGTATCGACTGACGGGAAAAAGAATAAGTACATCTTGTCCCAAATCAGGTTCTTGTGGAACCCAGACTCCTGGATGGCTAAACGGTACATATCCGACGCTGGAAGATGGGATCAAAAAGATGGAGTTATGTTACCGTACTGCAGGCTCAAACTGCTGCGCGTCGAAAGTCAACGTACTCGTAAGACAGTGCTATGGTTATTATGTATTCAAGTTTGAGGATTTTCCAGATGACGGTCGTTTCTGTACCGAAGAAGGTTAGTGTCATGTATAACCTAGTCATACCCTTTATCCGTTGTTTAATGTACGTTTTAAGTTAGGTCACTGCGATTTTAAATTTGACCAGATCATCTGTTGCCCTATGAAGACATTATCACGAAAATGTGATGACTTTAAACTACGTCAATTCCGTTAGTGAAATAAATATCTCTTTGGCAGATACAAACACGTTTGATGATATCATGTTCTTGTCCACCTATGAACGATGCCTGACAGGTCACGTGTTTCATAATGAGACGGATGTCACAGATGTTTCAAGATGCATTGGTTATTGCCTGAGTGCTGGAGAAAACTGCAAGTCTGTGAATTTCATCAATGAAGAGAGTGGAAAATGCCAGCTTAATAATGCAGTTAAAGGAGAAGGCGTTCTTCATGTTGACTCAAAATGCGATTATTATGAGAAAGTTTAATTCCATCTAGATGTCTTAAATTCTTTAAACGTTTCATTTTTTGACAACAACAGATTATCGAAAACTAGATATGATTATTCCTAATGACATCAATTTATTATCAACAATATGATGCTATTAGAACTGGAAATGAATTCGAAAATTTGACACTGCATGCATGAGCAAATGATGTCTTTAACATAAAATAAAGATCGCAGGTCGTTCTCCCTTCTGACGCAGCAGAATCTTGGATTCTTAGCATAGTTACACATTCTCACCGCATACTCATTACCTCGCCATAAATGAGTTAAAGGAGAAATTGCGACTGCGAGGCAAAGAGCATGAAAGGAGATGGTAGCCGACCCCCAGCGACGGTAGATATTATTTCCGTCACCAGGGGAGGTGGGAGGGTCTCCAACGTTCTTCGTCTTGACCGGGAACGTGTTAGAATGACCGTGCAAGGCGTGGATGCCGAATTTGTATCCTCGTATCGCAATGCATGCTATCCCAGGTGAATACACGAGAAATGCATAGTTTTTATGACAAGCTAATGAATTATGCAGAGAAAATTTTGCATGTAATGATAAACTTGACTTTTTTGTACTGATTAACAATGGTTTCAATAATTATGAATTGTTCTGGAGTAACTCATTATTATTGTGTTGCCATCTAACAAAACTCCAAAAACAATAGACATATATTTTGCATGTGCCTTGATCAGTATTTAAAGTAACTCGCTGTTTCTGTAATTCACACTGAGCATAGTTAATAGAGAGGACACCAGTCCTCTCTATTAATTATGACACTGAGTGATGTCACACCATGAGTCACACCATGTCTGCAAAAAAAAACCTAAAACGCGTTGTACTGGTTAATAGACATACTGTACCAATATCTTACACTTCTAATTGATCCTCAGTGCAATAAATGTAGTATTACAACGATTCTTCAAGATACGACATAGCTATGTACTAAATATTTCAAACAGAAGGTGATTTTCAATTTTTTTTCTTTTCGTTCTCTAAAGCCCCCACATGATTCAAGGCTAATGTTCTGGTCCCCCCTCAAAAAAATTGTATTAGTTCCCTAGATAAAGGGCAAACAAATGCCCCTTAAAATCATCGAGGTCCCCTATACACCCGAGGTATTGTGTTCTCCGCACTTGACGTCAAATTTATTCTTTTGACTCCTTTTGTATTGTAAAAATTTCACTTATTAAAAGGGTGTATAGAATAGTGAACACTCTCTGAGCCTCCCTTCCTCCCCCTCCCTCCCATCCCCCCTACAAAATGCTTGAAGAAAACAATTCACTTTACTTGCTGTTGATTGCTGAGCTTGTGTATTTTCCTTGAGTGCAAAATCCGAGACATCAATTTCTTGAAGTGGATCAGATATCACTTGTTCGCACGACAGGGTTTACGTCGACTAATTTTCAGAGCTCGATCTTCAGAGCTCTTCAAGTTGCTGTTCTCTCAGTGACTTCTAGTCTTAACACAAAAGAAAATTTAACCTTTGATGACAAAATATGCATAATTATCACATTCAGATTTCTTTTCAAACTGTTCTGACGTGGCTCAGCATGTCTAGTCTTCTCTCACAGCCGTTATGAGGTTTGTTCCATAACGGCTGCGACAGGAGACCACAACACTGATAAAAAATTCAGTATGTATTTAACAGTTATGTAAAAAGATAAATTTAACACCATAAAAAAGTATGTGAAATAACTTACTGACGTTTCGGACGTTAATCCTTCGTTGACTTTTACTTCGACGAAGGATTAACGTCCGAAACGTCAGTAAGTTATTTCACATAATTTTTTACGGTGTTAAATTTATCTTTTTACATAACTGTTTCTTTAGAAACAACGACGCAGCTCACACTAGTTTACCGCTAGTTCCCACCAGTATGTATTTACTTTCAGCGGTTGATTTGACAGCGGAGTCAGTTAATCTTTTTTTTGTACTGCAAAGGCAGGAATTACCTTAATTCTCGTTTATGGGGATGCCTTGGCTTTAGTAGCGACTTCTCTTGGGGCATCCAGAAAAGAAAAGAAAAGAAAAGAAAAGAAGGAAAAAATAAAAGGAAGAAAAGTATATAGAAACTCAAGGCTTTGAAAAACTCATTTTCCCCTATAGCAGTTCTAAGCCATTTTTAACTTTTAACCAATTAATGTTAATGACTTTGTTTCAGGTTGTGAATTGCAAAGAATAAAAATTAAACAATATGTTATTTATTCAGATGTTGATTTTAAAACAATCAAAACATGCCATTTTAACAAAAAGATATTTTGCCACATGTACAGATATCATCCAAAAAAATTAATGTATATATATTTAAAAAAAATGATTATGCAAACACCTGCTTCGATTGCCAAACCTAAAATGTAACGATTTGGTATTACAGCCAAACTACTTCAACAGGGGTCATTTAGGTAAATTTGAAAAACAGCATAGACATGACATAACTCATAACAAGCTATAACACGGTTGTCCAATCAAATTGTAGTATTCCCAATCATCATTTTCCAATGTAAAAATCCTAAAGCTTTAAAGGAAAAGGCTGCCATAACATTGGTTAAAGTTACCAATTTGTTAAGATCACCACAGTTGCAGTAGTTTGACTATAATTACTATATCAGGAGGTACTCAACACCAAGCATTTTTTAAGCAGTGCGTGTCGAGATGTTGTAGTCAGTGTCTTTCGATCAGTATCAGCAATAATTCAGTCATGTCAATAGTGAAAAAGGTATTCGTCCTACTTTTTGTCCAGGTATGTAATTACTCGTGGCTAAGGACGAGTATGATTTAATTTGAGATTCCTGCATCACTTTTTAGTACTTTATAAAAGTTTCAAAAGAAAGCAAATATTTGTATATCTCGGACGAGTTAACTTTTTTTCAAAACGTCGCCTTTAGATTGTGTACTTGAATGGCGTGTCAGCAAGTGATGAAGGTAAGATGAACATAATAAACACTGTAGACCGAACAATTGGTCTGTGAGGTACAATCAACTCTCGCCTTACGGACACCTCGATATAACGGACACCTCGATATAACGGACAGGAAATACTGAATCCCAACTCCCGTTACGGACTCTCGCAACTGCGAGCACTAAACTACGGTCCCGAGGGTGTCTGCAATAGCGAGAGTTGATTGTAATAATTAGCTACCAAAATCTTTAGTAGATTATTTAATGAACTCAAATTATACGATTTTGGCTTTTTAAAACATCCAAAACGTTAGCAGTAAAACATGTTTTTCGTGCGATATAGTCAGGTAAATGGACGTCGTCTTTAATTGTTTTTAATGTATGGCTTAGGTAATTCAGTCGTGTTGAACTCCGCAAGTATGGAAAATATCAAAAAAAGGGCGACACGTTTCAATAAATAATGACGGCTATGACGAAGAACTTAAGATTTAAAAATAGATATTATTAATATGTTTCAATATTTGATAATTCTATAACTTCATGGAGAAGCTACCTCTATCTGAAATCTAGAATTGACGGAAATTTTCAGTGACTCGTAAGGTAATCTGGAAATTCTTCCTACATGTCTATAAATCTCATTGCTTGTCTGCTGGCATTATGTATAAGAAGAGATATTTATTTTCCAGAATTCCCCGAGCCCGTGTTGTTTCTTCCCCTCAATAAACAATACGGTACGCGAGACATCAGTAAGAGTAATCTAACTACGACGGCTGTTGGTCTTACCTTGTCTCCTGGACCAGATGGTAAACCAGACGGGTCATACTACTTTCCAGGAAGCTCGTCTGGTTATATCCAAGTACCAAAAGACCCAAAGATTGATACCAGGTAACGCTTATTTATACTTAATTGCTTGTAATGTTAATTTGCTAATGCTAAGACGTATAGAGCAGTATGCAGGCTTAGAAGGATTGGATTTCCTTGGAGTAGTGGCTTTTTAGAGTTGCAGATACCTGTGGAAAATTTTACATTCATTTGATCATTCCGGCACTCCATGGGGGGTCCCGAATGTGATCGAAGGGCTCCATGTAACCCGAAGGCTTGGTATTTAGGCAATCATACAAAATTAATCTCATGAAAATATCGTAAACAAACAATATCATTAAAACAGACTCTAGCATTTTAAAAACCTTCGACTAAACTGCGAAACAACAACGTTTCCCTGCGGCATCTTCAAAGGTAACCAAGCATTTACATCGAAGCGAGGTGACCGTTTTGAAAGAGCCATGATATCAACTTATAGAATATTGTCTGGAAATGCGAAAGAAGGTTTCTATCATTGCTTCGACACTAAGGCACTTCTATACTTTTCAAGATGCCGCAGTTATCAATCTAAAAATCTTCAAGATTTAGTTCATTATAATTTAATGGTTATTACACCATTTTAACCTAGGAAAAGCATGTCTCTATTTACTTGGATCTACAACCAAGGCACTGAGGAAGGTCCACTTATTAATTACGAAAGTGACACAAATAACTGGAATGGAGTCCATGCCGTCATACAAGGATCAAATAATCCGCCGGCATTCTATGTTGCATTTACCACTCGCCATAATTTGAACGATAACGATGGTACTAGTATGGGAACCCCGATAGCTAAAAACGTTTGGCAACACGTGGGGTTCACCTATAACTTCGATGCAGCCGTGGCAAAGTTGTATATTGATGGGGTCATTGTACAAACCTCAGCTATACGTAAATACGAACTTAATACAATTTTCAAGGTAAAACATTAGTTTGCAACTGAATACACTTAGTTGTTGTTTTTTATTCATGCAATTGTATATATTTTAATTATATAAGTTTTTGCTGTTGTTTTTCTTATGGATGATAACCATTATCTTTGAGTATAGCAAGATCAACTGCTGTTCTGTTTGGCTTGCAGCTGAAAATTGGTGGTGTAAAGTATGGCTATGTATCAACAAAAGCGTTCAAAGGACGCCTGTCCTGTTTTCAAATCTATAACGAGGCCCTGACACAAAAAGGGGTACTAGCAAGTCAGCGGTACTGCACAGGAAATGAAGGTACTTAATAATAGTCCATGAAAAATATATATCAATTATGAGGGCGTGTACAAGCTGATGGGCGTTACGCGTGGCTCCTTTAAACAGCACTCCCGCGTAGATTCTGCAAAGTTAAGTGCAGTCAGTGACCTCAAGAGTAGTGAGTGCAATTGCAACGGACGCTGCCGGCTGGCTAACTAGCTGGCTTTTATCGATTCAGTTTGGTGAATTGATTTTTATTTTGCAGCCTCAAACACGTTTGATGCTACCATGTTTCTGTCCACCTCTGAGAGATGCCTGTCAGGTCACGTGTTTCACGTTGAGACTGACGTCACAGATGTCCCAACATGCATTGGTCATTGTCTGAGTGCGGGAATCATTTGCAAGTCTTTAAACTTCATCAATGAAGACAATAGTAAATGTCAGCTTAATAATGCGACCAAAGCAGTGGGTTTTCTTCGTGTCGATTCAAAGTGCGTTTATTATGAGAGAGTTTGATTTCACTTACAGAAATAAGAGTCTATTTCATGATTCTACAGCAGACATTGAGCAGTTCATGGGAAGCTCCATGGACAAATTACTAGTTTCTAGGTCGATTCTCTCATATGATACTTAAAAGTATTTAAATGCAGCATTTTTCACAGAATAAACACGTGTCGATTCAAAGTTCGTTTATAATGAGAGAGTTTGATTTCACTTATAGAAATAAAAATCGATTGCATCATTCTACAGCAGACATTGAGCATTTATGGAAGCTCCATCGACAAATCACTGTAGTTTCTAGGTCGATTCTTTCATTTGATTTAAGTATTTAAATGCAGTATATTTCACAGAATAAATATTTCAGTATCTTGACACTTATAAATGTATCATTATATGTGAGCACATTGTCAATTCTTAAAAAAGGATCAACAGTGAATTAAAGGACAATGATCAACCGGCATTCAATGCGGTAGTGTTTTAGATTTTTAATATATTGAAAAGAGGTGACTTCAAACACTCAATTACAATCTGTTTCCAGCCATCGGTTTTCAGTCTATACATGTACAGTATAACCAAGTGATAATAAAGAGTAGCTTTTTTCATTATATTGCGATACGTGTTTTGATTTTATAACATAAGCAAAAACTCGTAAGGGATGCCGGCTGATCATGGCCATTTTAATAAGAAAGACACATTAAACTATAAGTTTTAATTTCATTTATTCCTATTTCAAAAATAAGTCTAAGGTCTATGATATTATGTTTTCTTTCCTTTTGCATATATATATATTGTTTCACCATTTTTTCCCACCCTTTAGCGTACGTTACTTAAGGAACAAACTAAACCGGTGCAAACAGTTGTACGAATCCATACAAAATATACGGTGGATAATTTTATCCATCCTTTGTACAACTGCTTCCAGAACATTATCGTTTTCCGCTTTGTTGCGTTCATGCAATATGGTGGCTTAAATGTTACACGCAACCGATAAATATCACTGAAAGTCCCATCATATATACTTTAACCCGAGAAAAAAATGTACAATTTCCAACACTCACTCGATTTTGAATATACCTGAAAAATAAGCAAAAAAATGTCTTACTGAATTGCAAATATTATACAGCAAATCTCATTGAGGTTGTCCAGTTGTAAATACATTAAGATTGAGAATAACATACGCTCATTTCAGGACGTGTTCTCATCCGTTTTTCTTGACAGCTGGACCTAGGCAAGGGAGAGGCAAGGGCGGATCCAGAGAGGGGCAAAGGGAGCCCCTCCTTTGAGCATAAAAACTAAACTGCTTTTATTATTTTGTTTTTAAAACCTCATACATAATTAATGAGTCATTAGGCCAATAGAATGAGACTATTTGGTCACATGCATGGACCTTTATATATAAAGAATACTAATAAGGGTGACAGTTTTATCAGATATAAAGGTCCATTGCCCTAGCAAAGGTCTCAGGTTTGATACCTGATCATTGACCAATGCAGGATGTCAACCGAATGAAGTGAAACAGCATCAGCACTTCTATTTTACTTTATGCGTATTCAATGTGGGATAACAAGAGTGCTTTGTAAAGTGATCCGCGCATGATCAGTTTGCCTCATTTATCTCAAAACTTATTTTTACGGCAATTTCTCCAAGAATTTTAACGGATTTGAGTTCAAACTAGTCTTGGAGTTTTTTAACCCGTTTAAAACACTCGAGATCGTGTTTTAAGCCCATATTTAGCCCCCCTTAAAACCATTTACTGCCCCTCTTAAAATGCATTGAATTGGGCAAGAGAATGGTTTAAGAAATACAATTTTGACTTACTTTTTGCCATGCACTCGCAAAATGTTCGCACCTCCCAAGGCGCTTCTGTAAAAATCTCTTTATACTCGATGTAGGTTTCATTTTGAAAGGTAATATTGTACTGACCAGGTTGGTGAACAAGAACATCGAATGACATCGACACTTGATGACATGTTCCAATAGGGATTGGAATACCAACTGGTCCGGTGCCGAGGGCACATCGTGTTTCGTTCTGATTTCCACTGAACGAATCGTCGCATGTAAGTTCGTTGACAAACCGAGGGTAGTAGTTCGCTGGTAGTTCGGTACATCGTTGGCACGCTGGGCATAGATGAACACCTAACAACAAGCAATGGCAGAGAGTTATATTATCAAATACCATTATTCAATATTTCAATTATAGTTAACAAAATATAATTTCATAACTAGTAAGTTTCGCACCATCCAAAATAGCGTGAACATTCACCATTCATGTTTGAGTGCTAATTTAAAGGTCCAGTTTGTAACATTATACTTTGCACGCCTCTGTTATTGTTATGATTTACACCAAAATACTTCTAGTATCCAAATATCACCATAAAATGAATGTTAGATGGTTTAAAACTCTAATATTAGCGTTTAAAGTGCTTAGAAGTAAAAGTGAGATGGTCAAAGATTTGAAACGCACAGTACAATATATAGACTTTCGGTAAACTGAAAATGGCCGCCTCTAGGCCCTCGAGGCCCCTAAGCATAATGGTGCACACTGGGCCTTTAAACAACAATTCGGTTTCAAAGCAAAATGTGTTTTCCCAACAATGATGCATGTAATTTGCCAATGATCGAATCCTTGTGGATAGTTATTTAAAGTAATTCTTACCATTTTCTGTGTCACGGCCACCAGGAAGGCATTGTATAGCAATATTTCCTGAGTCTCTCTTGTCGACCTTCACTTCCTTATTTGCGTTCTCCATTTCATCGCGCTTAACGCTCAGAGTATTTGTACTTGTGGTTGTTTTTGTGGTTGTGGTTGTAGGTGTGCTCACATAAGGCGAGGAGATGAATTTGTTATTTACCCAACTTCGCCATTGTTCAGTGTTGTTCAAAAGATCACCATAAACTTTGAACATGTTACTGAAGTCTTTTCTCGCCTCATCAAGTGAATTGGCGAAGTAATGTCGATTAAGTCCGCCAATAGCGTTAATCTCCTTCTTTAGTTCTTGATTGGAGGGTTTAAGACATTTTACGTAGCGATTATCCTTTTGAATGACTTGGTCTCGTGGAGCGCTATCACATACGTGTTTGACGGAAGCTCGTTTCCCTGGTTGGTTGGTGTTGCGACGATTGAATTGAACGCTGGGTTTACTCTGGATTTCCAGTATTGCCATGACAACGGCAATTGTCGTAATGATTGCCTATAACGTAGTAGCACTTAGTGTTATGGAAATATTTGTGAAAATGACATTTGTGTGTCCATATTTACAAGATAAAGGATTTCCATGACAAAAGAAATGAAAAAATATCATAAATTAAGATTGTCCGGATCTGTTCCCACTGGCACTACACTTCCAACATATGAAATGTATTGTTTTAAAACCCCAGTTTAAACGCTTCGAGTTGAGATGCTGAAAAATTCCTTAATATTATAGGCTTTCGCTTAAATTGTAAGGGCTGGAAATCTATCTTTTCAATGAATCACATTTTACATTACATTACTATATAAGGAGACAAAATGTTTTGAGACATGTCATCTTCAGAACGAAAGGCGCGAAGTTTGAGAAGAGTGTTCCTCTGAAAATTGTGACTGAATTAGATCTTGATTTCAGGCTCTAAAACTTCATGACTAGTTGTTACACCGAGTTGGTAACGTTTTGCGAGCTGACTAATCAACTATGCCATATAACGTCCCCGACCGACCACCTCCTGGAGTTGATTAGTCTAAGATAGAAAAGGGGGGGACCTTATATTCTCTTACCTTTACTCCCATTCTTTTTCGGATTAAGTGAGCACCCAGGAAGCGTATTCTGTGATAAATATCGATATGACTGTCAGCTTAATACAGTAACAATTACATACCACCATGGGAGGGGGGGGGGAATGGATTTGGAGCCTCAACTATTCTTTTACCTGAAACATTTACAATGAATGCTTGTGGCTTAGATCCTGTTTACATTAAAGGGTGCTCTTAAGTAGGTGATAGTCTTGGGCCCAAGTTTAAAGTTTATTATATTATTAAGATATATAACATCAAGATGGGTTGAAAATTGACCACCTCATCAAAAAGAAAGCATTTCATGTTGCCCAAAAATTACTTGGAGGATTCACGACTTAGTTTCCATACCCAGCTTTAGTGACCATGAACAAAGCATTGAACGGAGGCGTCAAGGAACACTGATCACAGATCTTTTCTTGTATCTCACTGTACCTTGACGCCTCGGTTCAATGCTTTGTTCGTGGTCACTGAAGCTGGATATGAAAAGACGTGAATTGATAAAGAAGCGTAATAATAAATCTGAATTCTTCGCAGGTTACGTCGGAGCGGCCATCTTGGAGGAACTTTAGCAAAGGATTTTTCATTAGAATCTATTGTTCATTCCTCCAACATGGCCGCCGGTCTTTTATCTTGTGAATCTCATGGGAATAGCTGAAAACGATCAATTGCCGGATGGTTAATAATCTTATAAACGAATACTATGATATATCATTTGCTATACTTCTGCTATGCTTTAGTAGTATGTATCAAAACCAGTTAAACTGGTTTATTTCAAGAGAAATTGTTATCTTACATGGTATTAACATTTGAAATAAGGAGACACACATTTTTTGTTAGCCTAATATATGATTATACGCTCCGCAGAATATAAATTTAGAAATTCAACCATCCATGGTCAAATCTAAGTATTATTGAAATGAATCTAAAGTTTTGGTGCTGATCTAATATTTCTCAACAAATGCATTTTCATTCCGATTATTTTCCATACCTTTTCTTGTAGAATCCAGTGATGACCCTTAGCACTTCTGGAAAGCGTCTTTTCTACTACTGCCAAGCTATATTCTGTTATAAATAAACCATAGAAACCGACTTTTATCGCTAAAGTGTCATTTCTTTACTCTTGATATCCTCCTTCAAGTAATGTCACCACGTTTCATAGTAATTCCTCGTTTTCTTATCTTTTTTCATTTTATACTGTAATTTGCGTCGTCTTGCGAGCTGGCACCCACGGCTTCTAAATGGTGCTCGCATGATTGATTGCTTGGAGAACATTTGACATTCTTTTGTCTTTGTTACTTTGTTCATGAGCGTAAGTTGTAAGGAATATAGAGATAAAAACCACTTCTTCGTGATGCTAATGGTGGTTGCCTGGAAATCTCTTAGTAACCTAAGAAAAAGGCTTCTTTGACAATGAAAACGTGGAGTTTTACTGATAAGAAAAATTGACGTCGAACTGTAGGTAGCTGAAGAAAAGTGTAATATAAGATAAAGAGAAATGGATATGTTGAATAGCGTTCTTAACCCTTTTCAGTTGTTAAATGCAGAATCAAACTTTGCGAATTAGATTGCTTCTCATTGACGATTACACGTTGCTATTTGACATTAAACAAAATCGCTCACTTTTTCTTCCAAAATGTAAACAGGCTATATTCATATCTAGAGTGCATTAAACTTGCAAATTCTATTATTTTACTATTTCCTTTGCATATTTTGACCGTTTGTACTCCAATTTGGCCTTGTATATTCAATAATAGATGCGCCATTTCAATAGACTAAACATATTGACAAAAAGGTACTTCACTTCTGTACCTATTTGACTATTACACTTTCACTTCCTTTCACTGACTTTCACTGTTGTTTTTGTTAAACGACGACGTTCTCAAGTAAAGTACCTGCGGTTTTCTTTGAGTTTACTTTTTCTGTGTTTGCCCCCAAGCTGTGGAACAATTTACCAATAGACATCAAGACCTCTCCATCCGTAGATATTTTCAAAAAAAGGCTTAAAACATTTCTATGAAACACATAAATGTTTATGCCCATGCCTGACACTTCTAGGATCATTTTTCTACATTTTTACATGTATTATAGTTATTTTTGAGATTGTAAAAGCATTGAGATTTTAAAATGCGTTTTAAGAATTAAATTATTATTATTATTATTATAATTATTACTAGCAAGGATTATAGCATTATTATTAACGTGATAAGTTACACGACACAAAATGTTTAGCCGCTGGGAAACATTGTAGTGTGAAATAAATTGAGAAAAGAGTAAAAAAGTGTAAGATACCTTGAAAACCATTGAAAAATTAATTTTACATTGAAAAACAAACAAACAAACAAAAAACTCGCACCAAAACTTTTTTAATTGCATTTGAATAAGTCGTGATTTATAGATCATCAGATCATCACTTAGTGTAACGTTTTTAATTGATGAGATCTTAAAGACCTACGAAAACACGTGTTTTAAGTAGCTTAACTATTTCATCTTAAATATATGTGTGCGTAGGTGTTTTATCATATACCAACATCAAACACAGTCAAAAGAATCATGAAAAGACTGACTGTCAGTGCAAACTGATTGGCTCACGTGCAGACCTTTATTTTGCGTCACGGACCACGTCGACATCTCTTGGATGAAGAAAACATCTTTTTTTCGAGTAAGTTTTGTCTATTATATCTAGCCGCGACTTTGTTTGCAATAATAAATTTAAGCTAATTCAATTTATYTATTTTTCGATTTTTTTTAAGAAAAAACGAAAGAAATTTAATTCGAGTTCGCAGTTCCCGCCTTTTKGGTGCTGCTGCGCGCTCGCGTCAGCCATTTGAGATTTCCCGCTCTTTTTCACAATTCAAAACTCGAACTTGAAAAAAWTTATCAAATCGAGCTTCAAAGCCATTAAGCATTCAAAATAGCTTTAAGATAGCTGCAAATGATCATTTTGAAAAAAAAAATACTCAAAACGAAGATGCAAAAGTTCAGAAAGAAGCCATAACAAGAGTTTTCAAACTCAAACAAACAGCCGAAGGGATTCTTCAATTACAAGGCAGCTGCTAGCACAAATCGTCGTCAATACCTGGTAAGTTCACTTCTCATTACTGGAAAAAGAGCTAAAAACTGTAGTTCTAGTAGAAAATTATTTCAAAGATGTAAAAAAAACTTACTAAAGAAAAAAAACAGAATTTGAGAACTCGTCGAGCGAGCTACTCTCAATGAAAATACTTTGAAGGGTGCAAACACAAGCTTATTTCTTCGATTCAATTACTGCTCTGTTACTGTTAATGGGAAAAAAAGCTTTAATTCTATATTGTGGGGAATTCTCTGCGAAAAAGCGAAAGATATACACATGGCGGAGAGGAATCACTGAAAATTTGTAAATAAAAATGTAAACTTAAGCTCTTAAAATACTAAATCTAATTTGAGTCGTATCATGGATAATAAAATCCATGGACATATAGTTGCACTATGTAAACACGRGCACATGTTCGTACGGATAGAGAAATACGAAAGAAGGCGACGAAAATTCACTAGACCTATAGAGAAGTGTAATCATTTGTCATCAAAAGTCATTCACAGACCACACGTAGAGTTTATTAATAGATATCTCTATATTTAAAGAAACGGCTCAAAATATAAATTAAAATAGATGTTAAAATACGACATATAAATGAACATTAACAAATATTGCTTGCAAGTGTTTGACTACAAAATATTACACCAGCTTAGAAATTGCGAACAGTAATYACCAACAAGATAAAGAGAACGAAAGAAAATTAAAACAAAGTAAAAATACAAATACTACAATTTCATACACCGATTCTTACATATTATTACATCTCAAATCGTGCTTCTTCCGTTACTATTCTTAAAATTCTAGTAAATACGGGAATAGCCTCGTTCCTAGGATATAAAATAATAGTCAATACGATAAACAATCAATTTACCTATTGTAAATTGGCTAACACTATTTGGTAGTTTATGCATTTGTGRTGTTTTTTGGTGTTCTTCATATATAGCTGCCTTTGTCCTCTTATACCGTCATTAAGTGCACATTTGCCACTCTCCTTCATCACTGATGAAGTTCACAGACTTACAGTCAAATCATTTCGTAGTAAGTGCACTTGCTGTCCATATTCAGTTGTCCTTCTGCTTTAACTGCATTATTAAGCTGACATTTGCCATTGTCTTCATTGATGAAATTTACAGACTTGCAGTTGTCTCCCGCACTCAGGCAATAACCAATACATCTTGAAACATCTGTGACATCAGTCACATTATGAAACACGTGACCTGTCAGGCATCGCTCATAGGTGGACA